TCACAGACAATCTCTACCATACACCCTGGACCTGACCCCAAGGTGATCTCCTCAGCTCCTTCATGCTCCCTTCAGGCCCCCCACTCTCCAGGCCTCTCCCCTCCTTTGCTCAAGACCTTGTGACCACCTCAGGTGCAGGGAAGGAGCTGAGGCTCACCAGAGAGCCGCCCCAGGGAGCATGGCTCAGAGACCTCTGCGGGGGAAGCATGGACACAGGCTTCACTAGCCCCATTCACACGGGTTCCTGGCATCTCCCCTGTGGGGTAAAGAACACAGGACTTGGCTGCAGCCAGGAGCTCTTGCAGGGCATGGGGAGGTCTTGCAGCCCTCCCCCCCCAGCCCTGCCATCTGCTGGCCTGAGGTAGCTACTTAAGATGAGTTTCTTGATTTTCTGCAAATTCTATCTAAACCACACTGGCTTCCTATATGAATTGGAGCAGCATTTGAATGATAGGCTGTATTATTTGGAACCAAATAACTGGGATATTAAAAAGGGAATATATTAAAGTATTACAAAGTCCCAATTTGAGGGAGGATCAGGACACTGCTTTGACAGAGCTTATGATGTGTCATCCACCATGTCCTCTCTTTTTTCTTTCTTTTTGTGGTGATAGTGGGGTTTGAACTCAGGGCATCCAACTTGCTAGGCATGCACTCTACTGCTTGAGCCACTCCTCCAGCTCAACTGTGTCCTTTCTAACGTCCCCACAGACACATCTCACCCATTGGCCCTTGCAGTGAGCTAGCTCTCCATTCTTTTCACGCTCCAGCCGCAAATTGTTGCAATATTTTTATTTTGGTGAAAACAAATAATTAAAATGAATGGGAAAACATAAGGATTTTTATTAATGCTGTTACTGATATTAAAAACAAACCACCAAGTGCCAGGGGTATAGCTCAGTGGTAGAACTCTTGTTTCACAAGCAAGAGGCCCTGGTTTCCACCTCCAGCATCGCAAAAATTCAATGAATAAAAAGTAAAAACCAGCCGGGTGCTGGTGGGTCTTGCCTATAGTCCTAGCTACTTGGGAGGCTGAGATTAGGAGGATCACAGTTTAAAAACAGCCTGGGCATAGTTGGTGAGACCCCCCCATCTCCAAAATAATCAGAGCAAAATGGACTGAAGGCATGGCTCAGAAGGTAGAGCACCTGATTTGCAAGCACAAAGTCCTGAGTTCAAACCCCAGTCCTGCTAAAAATAAATAAATAAGTAAATAAATCAGCTTAAAATGTGCCATTGTCTGGTGAGCCACTCCCAGGACCCGGCCATCTGTAATCACTGCCCCCAACTCTGTAAAACAACATTTGCATTTCTACGTTCCCAGCAATAAGGCCTTGAAATAGATGCAGGGCACTGAAAATTATAGGACTTGAATGAAATTGTAGGACTGCTGAGGTCCCCACAGGAACGCAGCCCTGGCCTGGAGCGGTGAGGCCCTAAATTCTGGGGACTCAGGATTTTCCCTGTCATGGGAACAGAAGGCCATCACCACAGGGCTTCTGACCTCAGCATCTTGCACCTTGGAAAGGGCATCCAAGAGACCCTGGGGTTCCCCAGAGCTGCGAGGTCCCAAATCCCACCTTGGGTAGTTTTCTGGTGGGGTGTGCTAAACTCATCTCCCCATTCCATTCTTGGGTGTGACAGGACAGTCACCAGGAAAGTGGATGTGGAGGATACTGACTGAGTCACAGCAGCAAGGCAGGCCTGGGAGGAACCAGTGGTCAGAACAGTGGTCATTTGTGGTGGATGCCTGGAGGGCCATGGGGTGGTCCTGGACGGCTGACTGCTGAACTTGGGAGGAGGGCCACGGGTGTGTCCACTTCATGGTAACTGATGATTTTTGTGCTCTTTTTGTATTTGTTTGTCATCACTGGGGTTGGAAAACCTCCCAGGGGAGTAGAGGATACCCCCAGAACCGCAAGACTGAACTTCCCACCAGCCTGCAAGAAGGAGGGCTGGAATTCGTGTGTAATTTGTTTAGAGGAAGTAAAGGAACTGGGCAGACGGCACACAGGGCAAAGAAGGTGTTTGCCCATATCTGGGGGGAGGGTCACAGGCTTTTAGAAAGCAGAGTCTTTTGGGGTTTCTGCTTCCCTTGGCCACTGAGCTGCTCCAGCTGGTTCCTGTCACCCTGCCAGCCATGGGGATCAGGGTGACTGATGCTGATGTGTGTTCAAGGCCTTCTGCTCCCAGGAGCTCTGTTTTTCCATCAACACCCTGTGGGGGAAGAAGAGAGGCGGTGATGCAGTTAACTTGAGTTAATATATACATGTTTTTTGGTGGCATTGAGGTTTGGACTCAGGGTTTTTACACTTGCAAAACAAGGGCTCTGCCGCTTGAGCCACACCTGCAGTCCATTTTGCTCTGCTTATTTTGGAGATGTGGTCTCCTGAACTACTTGCTCAGGCTGGTCTTGAATTTTGATCCTTCTGTTCTCAGCCTCCCAAATAGCTAGGATTACAGGAAGAGCTACCAGCACCTGATTCAAGTTTAATGTTGACATAAATTTTATTGAACATTTACTATGTGGCAAGCTGGGGTGGACGAGGTGAGAAAATCTCCAACCCACAAGGAAATATTTTTAGGAGCAACATCTTACAGGTGACAAAACGTGATTGAATGAGTCCAGAGCTGGACCCAGGTCCGGGGCTACATGGGCCTGATCAGAACAAGGGAAAGGCTGTAGTGTCCGGCTAGGGCAGGCCCAGTCATCCTAGCACGGCCACATTCCTCCTGACCTGGCGACCTTCACATGGGTGTCTCGGGGCTCAGCCTGCGTAAGTGGGATTGTGTTTTCACAGGGAGACCCTGATTGTTCCCCTGCGTCTTCCACCATGAGAGGACACAGCGAGAAGATGCCTTTTGTACACCGGGAAATGACCCTCACTAGACACCCAATCTGCCAACTCCTCCATCTTGGACTTCCAGAACCGTAAGAAATACACTGCTGTTTATAAGACACTTGGTCTATGTTTTTTTGTTACAACAGCCTCAAGGGACCAAGACAAGTCCTAGAAAGTGAGAAGATGGTGACTGTGTCTCACCATGAGAATTGCTGACATGTTTCTCATGTCGCTTTTCTGTGCACGTAGCCATGAGCCCAGAGGCATGAATGCACTCACATAAGCGTAGGCATGAGCACACACATGCACACCAGGATATATGCACACACAGGCATACGAGCACATGTGTGAGTAGACACAAGCACACACACATGAGTACACACATGCACACCAGGTCATATGCACACAGAAGCACACACGAGCAAAGGATGCACACACACACACACAGATGAGCACACATAAGTACATATGCACACGGGCACACACAAGGACACACATGAGCTCACACACATGTACACACAAAGCACATGTACACACGAGCACACACATGCGCACATGCATGTAAGCACACACATGAGCATATACACGCAATACACGAGCCTACACATGTATATACATGTGCACATGAGCACACACACGTGCTCATCACAAACTTGCTATGCAAGCAATCTTGGCAGTTGACGGAGCTGTTTGGGGTTTCAGGGGTCCCTGTGGCACCCAGGATAAAGGTCCTCTGGATGCTTCTCCCACTTGCCCTTCACCCACTCCTGGGCACCCTTCTCTGCAGCTGCCTGGACACCTTGCAGACATGGAAACTCTGTCCTTTATGTGCTTGTCCCTGTGAAGGTGCCACTCGCCTGCTTCATAGGCCTTTTCTGTGAACTTTGATCAGCTTTCCTCCTTCAGGGCTCTTCCACGCTGATGGAAGGAGAGAGCATGACCTTCCACTCTGAGCCCCTGGGCTCACAACTCCCAGCAGGTGGGAATGAGGAGGCGGCTGCCATATTTCTTTACATGTTGTTCTTGGAGGATTGAGATTTTCGAGTGAAAGAGCAATGGCTATAATAATTATTATTTGTTAAGCATTTTAAAGACAAAAGGCTGAGGTGCAGACAGTTTGGATAGCTACTGGAAGCCACTCAAGTTTGGATTTGCAGACACTGGAGCCTGGGTTCTGTCCTCTCTGGCCGAGTCACACATGTCACTTCACCCAGGACATGGGCCACCTCCCTGAAGTGCCCCTTGTCAGCTCTCTGTTTGGGCCTTCCCTCACTCTGGAGGTGAGGCCATGGAGGAGGAGGTGTGTGTGTACAAAACCTACAGTTGACATTAAACTTACAGGCGAAAGGCTGAGTGCTTTGCCCCTCGGATTGGCACAAGGCAAGAATGTCCTGGTGCTGGAAGCTGGAGCCAGTGCATACCAGAAAAGGAAATGAAGGCACGTAGACCTTTTTGTACAGGTGGTATGCTATGATAACTAGCTTTTCTTGTTGCTGTGACAGAAATCCTGACCTAAACAATGTAAGGGAGGAAGAATTCATTTTGGCTCACAGCGTCCAAGAGTCCAGTCCGTCATGGCAGAAGGTGTTGCTGGAGCTGTTGACCTCATGGCAGACAGGATGCAGAGAGACAGCAAAGAACCCGGGGACCACGTAGAACCTTCCAAGTCATGTCACCAGTGACCTACTCCCTCCTGCTTGGCTCCACCTAAATCTTCTACCACCTCCCAAGATAGCACCAACAACTGAGGACTATGCATTTAACATGAGTCTGTGGTGATATTTCATATTCAACATAACACATGCTTATCTATGTAGAAAATTCCAAAGAATCAACAACAACGAAATTGAGAGCCAATGCGCTCAACAAGCTTGCAAGAACAATGCACAGAAAAAAGTGCCTTACATGTCTTTATTACAGCATGAGCACATGGGCACTCAAATAGCATGTAATACCAGTTATAATTTCTCAGGGAAAAGAAGAGAATTACCTGGAAATAAATCTAACAAAACATACTTAAGACCAGGTACCAGTGGCTCACCCTTGTAATCCTAGCTACTCAGGAGGCAGAGATCAGGAGGATCAGGGTTCAAGGCCAGCCTTGGGCAAATAGTTTGAAGGACCCTATCTCAAAAAACACAAAACAGAAAAAGGGCTGGTGGAGTGGCTCAAGTGGTAGAGCACTTGCCTAACAAGCGTGAGGTCCTGAGTTCAAACCCCAGTGCCACCAAAGGAAAAAAAACCCAAACTATACAATGCTGATGAGAGAGAGGAGGCAGAGAGAGACAGAGAAAGATCTAAAACCCACAAATAGACCACACATATATGCCCAACTGATTAAAAAAACAAGCAAGTGAAAGAAACTCATTTCTACCAACGCAACACTGTTGGAGAAATTGGACACCCATAGACATGACCAAAGTGTCACATATTGTCTTAGTCCATTTTGTGTTGCTATAGCAAGATACCCAAAGCTGGGTAACTTATATATATATATAAAAGTTTTTTGGAGGAATACTGGGGGTTTGAACTCAGGGTTTCATGCTTGCTAGGCAGGTGCTCTACCTCTTGAGCCACGCCACCAGCCCTCTTTACATTGATTATTTTTGAAATAGGGTCTTGCTGTATGCCTGGGTTGGCCTGGACTGCAATCCTGTTGATTCCTCTCTGCTCAGCTGGGATGACAAGTGTGTGCCACCATGCCCCCAGCTATTGGTTGAGATGGGGTTTTGTGAATTATGTGCTGGCCTCCAACTGTGATCCTCCTGATCTCTGCCTCCTAAGTAGTTAGGATCAAAGTGTAAGCCACCGTGCCCAGCCCAACCTGGTTCTGTAGCTGCTTACAACTCTTTTTTTTTTCTTTTATTCATATGTGCATACAATGTTTGGGTCTTTTCTTCCCCCTTCCCCCAGCCCCCTCCCTTCCCCCCCTCCTCCCCACCCCCTCAATACCCAGCAGAAACTATTTTGCCCTTATTTCTAATTTTGTTGTAGAGAGAGTATAAGCAATAATAGGAAGGAACAAGGGTTTTTGCTGGTTGAGATAAGGATAGCTATACAGGGCATTGACTCACATTGATTTCCTGTGCATGTGTGTTACCTTCTAGGTTAATTCTTTTTGATTTAAACTTTTCTCTAGTTCCTGGTCCCCTTCTCTTATTGGCCTCAGTTGCTTTTAAGGTATCTGCTTTGGTTTCTCTGCGTTGAGGGCAACAAATGCTATCTAGTTTTTTGGGTGTCTTACCTATCCTCATACCTCCCTTGGCCACTCACAACTCTTCTCTCTTCATCAAAGTAGCCATGATGAAGCCGCCGTGTGGAGTTGTGGGCACCAAACCCACCAGCTCCATGAATCTGCTATGCCAGGCTCATGCTCCGTGAGCAGGAGTGGGGACACAGGAGGTCTGCTTGGTTACGGCTGCACATACTGTACTTTTCTTTTTCTCTTTTATTCATGGCTTTGCCAGTGCTCAAAATCACCCCCATCTGAAGGTTGGAAAGGAAATTATATTAATATTTGCAATGAGTCCTAGTTTGCAGTCCAAACTATTGCTGGGAAAGCGTGCAGATGACTTCTGTCCCCTGCATATTTTTGGTGGGACTGGGATTTGAACTCAGGGCTTCACACTTGCAAAGCAAGAGTTCTACTGCTTAAGCCACACCTCCTGTCCACTTCGCTCTGGTTATTTTGGAGATGGGGAATCTCGAGAAATATTTGCCTGGGCTGGCCTCAAACCGTGATCCTCCTTATCTCAGCCTCCCAGGTAGATAGAATGACAGGCATGAGCCACCGGTGCCTGGCTATGTCCCCTGTATCCTGGTCTCTCCTCCAGCCTTCTGTGCAGCTAGCTGTGTATAAATTACTTCCCCCTGTGGGTCTGCTGAACTGTGCTGTCAATTACAGGCTCGTGAACTCTAGAGTTCCAGAGAGTTCTTGGCAAGAGCTTGGGAGTTGGGAGCTGGAGTCCAGGCCAGAGAGAACCAGCTTCCCAGAAATGAGCACTTGCAAGTGCACGACTTCTGCTGCCCCTGTAATGAAGCCTCTATTCTCACTTCACCCCTGTCCCCAACTGTCTTCTCCTCCTCTACCTCTCCACCTCCTCTATCCCCTCCTCCTCCATCTCCTCCTCCTCCATCTCCTCCACCTCCTCCTCCTCCACCTCTACCTCCTCCCCTACCTCCTCCATCTCCTCCTCCTCCACCTCCTCCTCTATCTCCTCCATCTCCTCCTCCTCCACCTCTACCTCCTCCCCTACCTCCTCCATCTCCTCCTCCCCCACCTCCATCTCCTCCTCCTCTACCTCCTCCATCTCCTCCTCCTCCTCCTCCATCTCCTCCTCTACCTCCTCCATCTCCTCCTCCATCTCCTCCTCCCCTACCTCCTCCCTCCTCCCCCCACCTCCATCTCCTCCTCCATCTCCTCCTCCTCCACCTCCTCTATCTCCTCCATCTCCTCCTCCTCCACCTCTACCTCCTCCCCACCTCCTCCATCTCCTCCTCCTCCACCTCCACCTCCTCCTCTATCTCCTCCATCTCCTCCTCCTCCACCTCCATCTCCTCCTCTACCTCCTCCATCTCCTCCTCCTCCACCTCTACCTCCTCCTCTTCCTCCTCCATCTCCTCCTCCTCCACCTCCACCTCCTCCTCTATCTCCTCCATCTCCTCCTCTACCTCCTCCATCTCCTCCTCCTCCACCTCACCCTCCTCTTCCTCCTCCATCTCCTCCTCCTCCACGTCCTCTTCCTCCTCTATCTCCACCTCCTCCTCCTCCTCATCTTCCATCTCCTCTTCCTCTTCTTCTTCTTCCTGTTCTTCTTTTTTAAATTTTGAGACAGGGTCTCACTATATAGCCCAGGCTGGCCTCAAACTCCTCCTGCCTTAGCCTCCCGAGTGCTGATATTATGGACATGTGCCACCACAGCTTACCTGACTTTTTCCCTCACTTCTCTTCAGGCCTGTCCCCCACATGGGCCTTAGGCCTTCAAGCTTCTCTCCACCACACCCTTGTCCACACTCACTGTGTCTCTCTCTCTCTCTCTCTCTCTCTCTTTTATTTTTTGGCAATACTAGAATTTGAACTCAGGGTTTCACACTTAATAGGCAAGTGCTCTTTCACTTCAGCCATAACCCCCGTGCTTTTTGCTTTATTGTTTTTTCAGATAGAGTCTAGCACTTTTTTCCTGGAACTGGCCTCATACCAAGATCCTCCTGCTTCTGCCTCCTGAGTATGGGTTGCAGATATGTGCCACCATGCTTCCCAGCCTGTTCTTTTTCTTTTTGTCAGGACTGGGGTTTGAACTTGTACTTGCAAAGCAGATGCTCTGCTGCTTGAGCCACAACTCCAGTCCATTTTGCTCTGGTTATTTTGGAGATGGGGGGTCTCTCAAATTATTTGTCCAGACTGGCCTTGAACTGTGATCCTTTCTATCTCTGCCTCCCAAATAGCTAGGATTACAGGTGTGAGCTTTTGGTGCCCAGCTCTGGCTTGGTCTTTCAGATAGGGTCCGGCTAAATGTTGCCCAGCCTGGCTTTAAAAACCTCAATCTTCCCAACTTTGCCTCCCAAGTAGCTGGGATTACAGGTGTAAGCTACCATGCCTCACTGCACCTTGTAACTCAAATGCCTCTCCCACCTTCTCTGTCTATCCAAACCCTTTTCACTTTCTTGAATGCAGCTTGCAGGTTACCAGGTAGAATCAGATCATCATCCCCTGAAGGACAATGAACTTGCTTGCTGAGTTGGTGAAGAGTATTTGGTGCTGAAGGATATGCACTGGGTGCAAGATGGCCTCTGTCTGTATGTGACTTCGCCACTCATAAGCCCGTTGGACTTAAGCCATGCCTGTGCCTCACTCTCATTACCTATGAGATGGGATTGAAAACTGTGGATTCCTTATAGGACTATTGTGGTAAGTGACAAAACCATAGATGGGTGGGTATATTTAACACAAAGGCACAAGGCAAGTACTAGGTAAGCACTGGCTATTGTTATTGCATTTATTTCTTGGTGCTATAGCTGGTTTTTACCTTTCTTCGTCTCCCTTACCCAGGACCACTGGCAACCTAAGAACAGAAATTCTCACTTTTATATCCCAGTGCCATATGCAGGCCTCCCTCATGTTCCAGGCCACCCAGCTCCAGCCATCGTGCACTCCTCCTCCAAGGTCTGATGGAAGGAAGAATTCTCTCACCTGGCTTATCCGGATCCTCCAATTTGGAGATTATGGGTGACATTCCCCTGCTCTTCTGGGGGAGGGAGGTCATGGTTCCCAAGCTGTGTGTGGAGTCCTTCTGTTTCTGCTGCTGCCTTTAACCTTCTCCTAAAAGCACTGCCTGTCCCCGTGCAGGTAAGCAAACAGCTTCAGCCAGGCTAAGCAACTTCCCCCAGGCCACACAGCTATGAGTGAAGAGATAACACTTGAGTCATGGTGGAGTGACTTGAAACCAGCTCTCCTCCCCTCTCCTGTCTAGTCTGTAGGACTTATCTGTAAGTCCCTGGTGTGGGGAGTAAGGCAGGAGTTTACAAAGACCCAGCTTAAGTGATGATGAAGTCCTTCTGAGGAGTGTAGGCAGCATTTAAAAATTCCAGGAAGGCCACCAGTGGCTCACGCCTATAATCCCAGCTACTCAGGAGGCAGCGATCAGGAGGAGCATCCAGGTTCAAAGCCAGCTTGGGCAAATAGTTCGTAAGGCCCTATCTCCATAAAACCCTTCACAAAAAAGGTCTGGTGGAGTGGCTCAAGGTGAAGGCCCTGAGTTCAAACTCCAGTACTGAAAAAAAAAAATTCTAGGAAGGGCTCAGAGTAGGAGGGGTGGTGGGAGGGGAGAAGGTCCCTGTTGGGGCATCTGGATGGGACCCCAGGCGAAGCTGCTCAGGAGTCACAGGGACCTACACAAAGAGGGCTGGTGCAGGCATTTCACTGACGCCCCCGCTGCCACCCTCAGGATGCTGTTGATGGGACACTTCCATTGTGAGTGACAACTAACAAAAGGGGGCCTTTGGAGGGAGGAGAGGACCCAGGGCCTGCAGCCAGGAAACAGGAAGCTACATCCAACACTTTTGAATCTCAGGCCTGTGCTTCCCCGACCAGGCCAGAAACTAGAACATTCTAGTCTCTACACGGGGGTGGGGTGGGGGGTGGGGGGTGTCCAAAGAGGCTGTGTTTTCTAGAAGGACTTTTTTTTTTGTCTTTTATTTTTGTGGTACTGGGACTTGGAATCAGGGCCTTTA